CCCAAAGGGCAATGCAGGGGGACATGTCAGAAGGCTCGGGACACAAAGAAACCTGGAAATGCCAGCCAGTCTCAGTGGCTCACACCTGTAATCCCAGCACTTTGGGAGGCCGAGACGAGCAGATCACCTGAGGTCAGGAGTTCAAGACTAGCCTGGCCAACATGGCGAAACCCCGTCTCTCCTAAAAATACAAAAATTAGCTGGTCGTGGTGGCACATGCCTGTAATCCCAGCTACTCAGGAGGCTGAGGCAGAAGAATCACTTGAACGTGGGAGGCAGAGGTTGTGGTGAGCTGAGATCACGCCATCGCACTCCCGCCTGGGCGACAGAGCGAGACTGTCTAAAAAAAAAAGAAAGAAAGAAAGAAACCTGGAAATGCCTGCCCCACATCTGGGAGAGGACTTGATGCCTCCGCCTTTTTGCCGGACAGATTTCTGGATGGACAGGTTGGACGCTGGGCCAGCCCCACAGAGCTCCTGTCACGAGAGACAGACAAAAATAAGCAAAGCCCAGCGGCCGAGAGTGGACCCCGCCTGGATTCCTGGGCCTTGGCTGTTCCCCAGCCACCCTCCCTGCCCTGCTCTGGGGCCCCACGACGGAGGAGACAGTCACCAGTGGGATCCGTAGGAGAGGCATTGGTGTTTCTCTCCAACCTTCCACAGTGCCTGGCATTCTGCCCTTGGAGAGTTCATCTTTTCAAACGGCTCATGCCGTGAGTGGGTCCAGACACCAGCTGTGGCTGCCGCAAGCAGGTCTCCCCACGGGCACGTCGTGCCCATCAGGGGTTTTCTTCTGCAACAGCTGCCAGATGTCAGGCGCTGGGAGGATGGGATTTCTGTGGGAAAAGAGAAGGCAGTGGGCACGTGGATCATTTTGGTGCCCTCCTTGGAGCCAGAGCCGGGCGATGGTACAGTAATGGTGTGCGTGTGTAAGAAAGACCGTTACTGGGTTTTTAGACCCTTTACAGCTTTCAGAGGTACACATCCCTCCCCCATCACTCAGGGAGGTTTCCCAGAGTAGGGAGGACCCCTGGGCATCCTTAGCCATTGGCCCTGGGTCTCCTCATTCGTAAGACGCGGCCCCACGTGGCTCTGACTTTCCGGGACTCCACTGTCTTGTTTTCTCTGAAAGCAGCCCTCGCTTTTCCTGTTACTAATGGCTCCACATGCTCTCCCCACTGCCCAATAAATCATCCTTCCATCCTACACGCGTTCCGTGCAGACCTGAAGAGATGGAAATCTGCATAAAGAAAGGCCTGAAGAGCTCTGAGACAGGAAGAGGGTAAACAAAGCGTGAGCGAAGCTGATGAGGATGACGGCAGCGACCAGGCGTGGAGCGGCCTCTGTGCCAGGTGCCTTCCGAGGGTCTGACCTGCGTCATTTCACGGCCCCCCACAGCCCTGTCACATGGGTAACTAACAGGCGTGCAGAGGATCCATCATTCTGCTCAAAGAAGCAGGGAGTGGGAGAGCTGCCGGGCTTTGGAGAGGAT